GCTTGAAGTTTCTTTTCCATCTCTCCACGTTCTGCTTTATATAGTTCATCTAACATCATGAAAATATAACAAGCATAACGAGGTGAAGCCCACATTGCTAGAGCATTTACTAAAAGTCTATGAACATAATAACCTTTCAAACCAGGAGCCAAATTCTTGCGATTTTCGTACGGAATCTCTTCCCTCGGTTTTCCGAGGGAAGCAATCATATGAGGAAATTCTTCTAAAAGTTCTTTTGTCTGTTGGTTTTCAAACCAATGATATGCTTGCTTTGTAGAACGAAGAGCGTTCATTATACTTTGCATTTGGTACATGTCATCTTTGACAGAACGAATGAGACGTAACTGTTTGTTATATTGTATGTACTCGTATTCTTCATTTATTGCTTCATGAACTATAACTGTTGTTGTGTTCTCTGATGTTGTCATTACTGTTCTTACATACAGGATAAAAAAATAAATAAAATAAAAACTAACTTTATTTTTTTTGAGATAAACACTATTTCTTCACAACATTAAATTTTATCCTGTATGAAATGACTTTAAAAAGATTATTGACTGACTTCGAATACTATCTCATTGACGCACTGACAGACCCTCAAAACTGTGTTGAAAGTTCTTTAAGCTTTAAGATTGAAGGTACGACGCATTTTGTCTTCACTTACGTATTGAAAGAATATGACCGTTATCATAACGAAGTGAATCAAACACTAATAAAATTTGTAGATAAAAAATTGGTTAACAATGAATATTTTAAACGTGAAGACCCAAACACTGCTGGAGATGATGAAGAATACAGACAAGTTATTGAAAAAAATAACGCAAGATTAGATGCAATAGAAAAGAAGTTTAATGAATGTCTTACAAACACGTATGAATATCTTATGCGGTGGGAAGCCAGATGGAAATAAATTTACGTCAAAAATAATGTTTAGGGTAGAAGGTTATATCTAACCTGATATCTAACCTCTTTTCTACCCTCATTATTTTATAACCGTTTTACATGGTAAACGTTATGAATTCGCGAGATTCTAAACAATTTAGTAGCTTCTATTTCTTCACGAAGGATATCAAAAGTTTTAACAATGCCGAAAGTTTCTTTATACTTCTTCTTGACGTCAGATAGAAGGAAATCGTCAGCAGTTGGATAGTTTTTATTAAGAAATGTCAACATATCCATTTTATCTTCTGCTGGTTTCTCTTCTTCTTTCTTTAAGTCAGCATAGTCGTTTCGCATTCTTTCTATCTCTTTGACGGAGTAGTTATATTTTCTCATTGCTGCTTTACATTTTGAACATTGTGGGTTCATTTTTGCGTTATATTCTGAAACCTTACCTGCTAAAATAACTAAAGCGTCAATGGTTTTCTTTAACTCAAAAGCTGCTGGTTTTATCTGTTCATGCATACTTTACCTCTTCTATCTTTATCTCTTATCTGCCATACACATTCAGCAACTAACGAAACAAAGTTGTCGTAGGTCTTAAATTCTTCAGATTTATATATGTCAGAGATGTTCTTATATACCATGTCGCAATCTTTGTCCATAACTTTATGGTTGCAATGAAAACCAAGGAATTCATAGTTTACCTTTCGTATGAACTTCTTTATTTCTACTGAGTCGGTTGTTTTTACTTCTATTTCATCGAATTCAGGAATAGTGAGCTTTTGTTGTTGGATTTCAGGCAATTTGGGTAAATGGTCAATAATGTCCTGCATTTCATAAAGATACTGTTCATTTGTTTCATCTTTCACACAACAGTCTAAATTACTTGTTAACAATTCCTGCTTTATCTTCTGGATTTTTGTTTCGAAAGTATATGAAGAAGGAATGAAGCTTTTCATCTCTACTAACATAGATGTTGGGTTCATGACTAACGAGTTTGGTGCTGTAGTTGTGGACAGAGTCCCGCCGTTCGTGGCTTGAATTGCTGTTGTGCCGATTGTTGAAATCATATCTTTACATACAAAATAAAAAAATAAATAAAAATAAAACTAACTTTATTTCTTCTGTCTTAAGGAAATTCATGAAAATTCATGAAAATTCATGAGGGTAGAAATCGGGTTAGAAAACAGGTTATATCTAACCTTCTACCCTAAAATATATTTTTGGGTCATTTACGCTCATTACGATGAAGAAATCATGACAAAACATATACGATGAAATCATGACAAAACATTAATAGATAAAATTCATGAAAATTCATGAAAATTCATGAAAATTCATGAAAATTCATGAGGGTAGAAATGAGGTTAGAAAACAGGTTATATCTAACCTTCTACCCTAAACATTATTTTTACTGAATTCAATAAAAATAAATGGTTCATTTACTCACAATATTTTTGTACAAAACGACCCCAAACTTTTAACTTCTTTTCTGCAGCTTCAAATGCTATCTTAGCGAGTTCATATTCTCTAAATTCTCTCTTTAAATCTTCTTGTTCCCATTGGTCTAGTTCGTATGGAGAATCTCTATAACCATAACATATCTCACGTTCATGTTCTAATTGTTTTTCGCACATTTTTCCAACTTCTTCTTCAAACAAAGATTTAGCATTCTCTACTGTATCTTCGAGTTCTTCTTCATCTAATTTCTCATGAACTTTCTTATCTATGGAGTCCATAATATCTTTGACATAAAATGCATACTTTACAGAGCACCATTCAGCAACAAAATGAACGAGGTCAGCATGTATGTAAATACCTTTGAATTCATTCATAACGCCCTTAGTAAGCTCATAAAATGCTTGTTTTGAGGTTGAGCCACTTTTGGCTCGACCGTATTCTTTCAACCAAAACTCAAGAATTTCCTGCATTTTAGCACTATTGAGAAATCTGTTTAAATGGTTTAACTTTCCTGCTTCTCTTGCCATCTTTGTTGCATTAATGTAACCATCCTTGTCTCTACGTAAGACTTCAATACCGTTATAAGTGCCTTTTGTGAATGTTTCACCATTAGATTTGTTCGTGAATGTTTTTGCTTCGACTGACATTTCTGTTCTTACATACAAAATAAAAAAATAAATAAAAATAAAACTAACTTTATTTTTTCTATCTTAAGGAAATTCACGAAAATTCAAGAGGTGAAAAAACAGGTGAGAAAACAGGTGAGATCTAACCTCTTCACCTAAATTATATTTTTGTCTGATTTACATCTAATGAAAAAGTTTAGAAGAATTTTCTTATTCTTTCTGGCATATTTTTGTCTTTCCAGTACTCCCGCTCTAATGGTCCCAGATGTGTTGGCTTCGACTCTCTCAAGTTCTTAGATGGTATAACATCTTCAACGCCTCCTTCATATCTTACTTTATAAGTGTCATCGTTTATGTTGTAGTCAAGTATTTCAATAACCACTCCTCGCTTTGCTTCGTCAATGGTTTCAGCAAGTTTGCCATTACTACTTTCAACTAATTTATGACGAGGGTAAAATGCTATGGAGTCGTCAGCAGCTTTTATAAGATATCCATTACCTTGCGTAGAGTCTACGATATAATAATTTCGACTTAACCTTAAACGTTTCTTTGTCAATGGTTTGTCGTCAAGACTACACGAACTTTTGTACCAGGAATGAGTGTAATTGTGTTGAATTTCTGATATTTTTGGTTTGGCTTGTTTCTTTTGTATATACTTTTCTTCTTGTTGTTGTGTCATTGAATTTGGTGTATGTCCTGTTGTAGAATGTGTTGAGGAATTATATACTTCGAGAAAATGTTTCATTGTTTCTTCGGTAAAGTCTCGCTCTTGGTTTAAATCTCTGAGAGTCCTTATGAAGCGGTTTATGATACCGAGTATGTTATGGTTATGGTCTTCAGTAGTGTAGTGAGTTATGTTATGCTTAATGAGAAATTCTGTGATTTCGTTGCTGAGGTATGCACTGTCTTGGTCTGATGTTAAAGTACTTGGGTTATGTTCTGCTACAAACTTTTGTAAAACTCTTAACACTTCACGAGTTCCTTTATTTTTCATTGGATATGCATATGCTTTACGAGTGTTAACATTTATGAAGATGAGGAATGGTTTATGACCACATTTTCTGCTTTGAATGAGAGTGTCAAATTGGTATGCGTCAGGAGTGTTGGAGTAAATTGGTAAAAAGTAGTCGTAAGGGTTTATTTTTGTTTGATGTACAACATTTTTTGTCAAAGAACCTTTTCACTTCAGCTCTGTTAGTAAATCCCCGACTCTTTGCAGCTTCATTGAACTTCTTAAATGACCTCCATGGATGTTGTTCGAATACTTCTTTCAAACTCATTTATGTAAAGTTAAAGATTTTAACCAACTCGTATCCAAGCGTGCATTGTTATATAAGGAGGCATATAATCTTTTCCATTACCTGCTGGGTCTGTAATACCAGCTACAACATGTGTATGATTTCCTGCAGTTCCACAGAAAATACCTGTGCTTGAATCTACTGGGTCAGTTGAAATATCATATCTATGCATTCCCTGTCTATCCGAACCCGCTGCAAGATTTGTATAACCTCTTTTTGTTATTGAATGTGAATGGTTTCCTTCCACAGATGTTCTTCCACTGAACCTATGCATATGTGAAGGAAGGTTTTCAATACCTATTTTCTTTGAACCTCCCATCTTCATTGACTGTGTATTAGTGTAGAATGGAAAACTGTCAACTATTTCATACCATCTACCACCAAATAAAGTGTTTGGATTTATTGGATTCATAGACGTATAAACAGCTCCTATAGGATATATTAAATCATATATGCTCATAACTCTATAAACATATTCTAAAGAACTTATGTCATTAAATACCATTTGGAATGTATCTCCGGATGAAATGTTGCATTTGTTTCCACTTTTATAATGTAATTTAGTTCAATAGAATTATCCAAGAAAAATTCAAAAGTATCTGGTTGAAGACCTCTAACAAATTCAAATGGAGTTGATGGTTCACCATTTATAATTTCTGTTGTAAATGTCATTGTATCTGGTTTCGAAAATTTCTTTGTTAGTTCTGCATCCACATAAGTTTTGTCAGCTTTCTTATCTAACATTGCTGGTAGTTCATATGCTTCAAAGTTTCTGGCATGATCTTCGGTATTCCTGCAACTCTTATCTAAATTGTTAAGAGTATCTTTTACGCTTGTACTTGGATTTTCTAATGGTGCATTTGAACCCAAATCAAAGTTCAAGATAATGTCGTCTGCTCTAACAGTAGTGAAGGATTTATGTGTATGGTTCTTGTCAGCTTTCTTATCTAACATTGCTGGTAGTTCATATGCTTCAAAGTTTCTGGCATGATCTTCGGTATTCCTGCAACTCTTATCTAAATTGTTAAGAGTATCTTTTACGCTTGTACTTGGATTTTCTAATGGTGCATTTGAACCCAAATCAAAGTTCAAGATAATGTCGTCTGCTCTAACAGTAGTGAAGGATTCGTTTGTATGGTTCTTGTCGGCTTTACTGTCTAATGTAGCTTGAAGTTCATTTATATCGGAGATGTTGTGTTTATGAGATTTCAAAACTTTGTTCATTGCTTCGAGTTCAACTTTGTCAGCTTTACTTTTAATAGCATCTTCAAACGTTATTTTTGACTTAACTCTCAAAGTAAATCTTGGTTCAACTAATACACCGTTAACATTGAAAGTAGAGGCATAAATTTCATCGTTATAACCAAATGCTTCTGGTGCTTTAGCTACATCATACTGTACAGTACAGCTTATGTCATAACCTTTAGCACGAATGTATTTATATCTTCTTTCATTAACATTTTTTGTCTTCGCTTCATCACTTCGTGTTAAATATCCATGGTAGTCCGTTATAATCTGTTCGTCTGAAGTTATATAATGAACGTGGTTTTTATCTGCTTTTTCGGCTAATTTCTCATTAACATCATTCACTTCTAATTCAACTCTTCCGCCAGAACTCTTATTATCATTAATCTTTTTCATTAATTCGGTAATTACGTCATAAAGACTATATTCTGTTTTCGGTTTTGTAAATAATGAGTCAAAATTTCTTTTCATCATTACATCGCTGACATTAATGATATCACCAATTCCTTTTTCATTTATTCTCTTCATTAGTTCTGCAATAATGACGAATATATAATCTGTTAATTTATTCTCTTCATCGAGGGTTATAGAATGATTTGAAATCGAATCATTAACTCCTCTAAATAAATCAATAACTTCAGGATACACGTTTTTAATGTCTTGAATAACCCGACCAGTATCTTCGCCACTATGTGGCTCTGAGCCCGTTGGGCTCTGTTGTTCATGTTCTTCGTTCCCGTCGTTACGTGGTTTTATATCTCTAACCATCATCAACGCAGCCATAACCGGAGGGTTTGTTGCTATCTGTTCGAAAATCCGTCCGTTATGTATGGTATATCTAAATAATTTCTTTGTGTTTGTTAAAACATTTGAAACAAGTCTTTTAAAACCATCTACAAAATTTCCTGTTTCACCTAATGTTCTTGCAGCATTTACAAGCTCACCCATTCCCGCTTTTGACCCCAAAAACGTCCATATTGCATTTATTTCACTCTGTATAGTTGTCCATTCAGCGAAACTAACACCCGCATTCGCTAAGCTGAAAATGAAACTCAGTGGATCGAACTTAATTCCGCCTTCTTTTTCAATTTCAACGAACTCACTAACATGAGATTTTAAGTATTCTTTCGTTAAAATTGTTTTCCCCGATGTTATGTCATTAACGAAACTATCACCGTCAAAAGTTAACGAATTCAATTTCGTCGTTGATGCTTTTATTTCATACACCGCTTTATCAATAGTTTTTGGCTCACCTTCTTTAGAAGCATATGAAACATTAATGAATGAATTATATGTATTCGTGAATGAGTTAAAATCAATGATTTTCATTAATGACGCCTTTAATGATTCATTAACTGTTGAATCCCTTAAAACAATTACTGAACTGTCCTTTATGAAAGGTACACTGCAAACTGTCGAGTTTGGATCAAATGCTGTAGTTGGTGCAGGAATATTAATGATATAAGTCATTAAATCATTAAGTGACGTAAATAATGTTGTCGTTTTTGATTTAATTTCTTTAGCATCTGTTATATATGGTAATTTTATTTCTGTAGTTTCTGAATTAAAGATATTCGCTAAAATGTTTTGTAAACTGTTTTGAACAGCTGTGTAAACCGTTGAATTCGGAACTCTTACAATTTCACCATCCTTAATAAAAGGCATTGTACATGACGTAGTGCTTGGGTCAAATCTTTCGGGATTATAATTCAACATATATTCTAACGCTTCATGAACAGACTTATATACTGTTGTGTCGTTCTTCATGACAACTTCACCATTTACAATGAATGGCATAGTGCATGGAGTTAAAATGGGGTCAAACTTTTCATAGTCCTTCCATGTTATGTATTTCTCGGTATTTCCATCAGAAATAACAATATATTTGTCAGTAAGTGTGAGAGAGTATTGACCAAAATATAAACGTTTAGCTCTGTCAGCTTCATACGAATATGCAGCAATAGTCATATTTTAATGAGAATAAAATGTTGTTCTATTTGCAAAGTACAGACCCAAACGAATACGGGACAGTAAAACTACAAACAAACTTAGGTCTACAGAATGAGCCACTTGCATTCAGAATGGTTGACTTCAATACTATCGCAACTTTTGTCATAACAGATGAAACAGATTTCATGGAGTTTGAAATAGATGGAAAGAAGCACGAAATAAGATTTCACAATAATGTAGAATATAAGATGGAAACATTAGCTGGAGTGTTAAATGCGCTCATAAATACTACAATAAACAAGGAGAACGAAGAAAACTTAATGAATGTTAAACTTATTGCAGGAGTTTTGAAGTTCAGTTATGCGAAGGAGTTTAAGATAACACGAATGAGTCATAGAGTTCAATTGCTTCTGGGTGCATACCATATGACATTTCCTTTGAAAAGTGTTGACAAAACGATTGAGATGAAATCTGTTCCATACGTATGTTATGGCAATTGTTTATACATTGAGTCTAAAATAGCTAATGTCACAGGCATTTCAGGAGTTAATAGTAAAGGTTCAGTAGAATATAAATCCTTCTGTTATGCAGTCAATTCAATGTTCATTCCAAACGTTCCTGTCATAGCAACTCATTTAGGTAAATGGGTTCGCATTAGTCCTCATAATTTGAAAGACATGCAATTCAGACTAGTTGACTTTCAGGGCGAGCCTGTAGAACTGAAGGCACCAGTGCGAATGACTGTTGAAGTTGACTTTTTAGAAAATATTAAATGCAACAGCTTACAAGAGAACTCAGAGCTAAAAATATAAAGTATGAATGTTATGTATTAGGTCATGAACTTTGGTTATTGCTGTTTGATGAAACAAATGAGTTAGTTATGTCAGTCAAGAGAACAGAAAAAGGCGTCAAAGGCGCCGAGCGCAAAGCGCTATATTGTGATGATATGCTATTAAATCATATCCTTAGCGAGCTTGTATTTTCCAGGTTGAAATTATATCCCATTTGGTGCTGAACCATAAAGCTAAATAGGTTCGGGTCAGTATTTCCTTCCTTGAACTTTCTAATAGCTTCTTTATATCTGTCACTAAAGTCAAGAGTATCTGGGTAACCATAGTCTTCCTTAAGCATTTTTAAGAATTCTTGGTTTCCTTGTTCTCTACTTCTTTTATGTCCTTGCTCTGTTTGTGGTTGTTGCTGTGCAGTGTTTTGAACTGTTGGTTGTGGTGCAGTGTTTTTGAACTGTTGGTTGTGGTGCAGTGTTTTGAACTGTTGGTTGTGGTGCAGTGTTTTTAACTGTGGTTTGTGCAGTGTTTTGAACTGTTGGTTGTTGTGTTGGTTGTTGTGTTGGTTTTGGTGCATGCCTGTGTCTGTGTCCATGTGACGATGTAAATGTTTTAGGTAGTCCTGGTGCAGTGCTTCTCTTGGAGGGTTTGGTGGTATATAAGTTCCACCAGCTGGCACATATGTTCCATCTGCAGCATAATGTCCTACCTGACTTTTCGTTTTTAAGAAAGCATTTACTAGGTCTGTTTTGGTCTGTTGTAACTCTTTTTCTTGACTTTCCACAACAGTTGCTCTAACGGCGTCATAGGCACTTTGAACTGCCTGTCTCGTTGCTGCATCTGTTATTTTCGTCATATTTTGTGCTACTTCTCTTAACTCGTTGTCGAAACCTTCAGACTTCAGTTTCTTTCCAGATGAGAAGTCGTTCACTAGTTTCACCTTACTATGAAGAGCTTCGAAGGCGTTCTTAAAGTCAGCATTCATTAAAGCTTCATTTGAACTGTCTTCATCCGCTTGTATTTTTGTCCTTATTGACCCTATAAGTTGGGCTGCTTTGGCGTGGCTTGGGCATCTAACCAGTCATTATTAGCTTTTATATATTCTGCGCTTTTCATTGCCTTTTGCATGGCTGCGTCGTTATTTTTACTTTCTTGTGCTAAGTTTTCATACTGTACGGTTTGGTTTTGCAACTGTAAAAGTTTTTCTGCCTTTACATTTGCTTCAACTTCTTTTTTATACTCATCGCTACCATATATGTCTTCAGGGCTTTTTGTTTTATTTCTTCATCTTTCAGTACTTTATATTGAGTAGTATGGTTTTTCAAATTTATAACATCTTGTTCCATTTTTGCTACTTCTGCTGCTTTTTCTGACACTTTTTTCGCATATTCCTCTGTACTTAGTTCTTTCAGTTGTTCTTCTTTCTTCTTTTTTCTTACGTTTAACTCATTGAGTTTCTTTGTGTGTCTGTCATATTCTTGTTCTTTTCGTTTTCGCTTATTTGTTTCTGTATGTCTATGTTTGACTTTTTGACATCTGTTATTTGATTTTTGAGTGAACTCAAATTCATTTGACTTTGAGGGTTATAAGCTGTTCCGTCTGCAGCTCCACCATAGCCTGCCATTTCGCTAAAAGTGCCGCTCTTAAACCTCCACTCTGTGCACCAATAACTCGGTTTAAAAGCATAGGGTTGCTTGACATTTGTTGCAACATAGTGGGTCATTCATCATTGTTGTTGCAACTGTTGTTGTGGTGTCAGTTTTACTATTGGATGTTTCAATGCTCCCTTCCTCTTACGTATATTCTTACGTAGCTTACGTGGCATTTTAAGTGAAGTAAAAAACGGTTTTTGACAGATGTTTATATGACACTTTTTGTTCAGCACAAAAAACTACTCGGTCAAAGTGTTGTCAGTTTTGTAAAATAACCGTCCTATCTTGTTTTAAAAGGGGGAAAGGCTTCTCAAAGTATACTTCCTTGGAACGCCTGTAACTTTTCCTGTAGCGACGATAGACCCTTACTTGTCCGGACAAAGTTATACTATTTTGAGTGCTCTACAAAAAAGTCAACGGCTGGTCGGCTGGGGTTCGGTCCTCCTCTTGGGTCTTGGGAAAAACTTTTTATGGGCTAGAGGGCACGAAGTGCCTGGAAGGCCATCCCAAGAAAAAAAAAACTTCATTTATACTAAACATCTTCAGGGCTAGAGGGCACGAAGTGCCTGGAGGCCCCACTACCCTTTTTTTTTTTTTTTTTTTTTTTTAGAAACAATTTATCTTAATAATTCTAAAATCATTATAATTGAAAATGGAGCCTTTAATTAATGCGAAAAACTGAAATACATTTATTTTTCAAAAGTCAATGGGCTTAATTTAAACTTTTTTGATTCAAAAGCTGACCATTTGTCTCTAATTGAGATAACAGATATAAAAACAGTTTATTTAACACCAAACAATTGGGCTGATCTTATACAAATTTATCGTAGTTATGATGTGTTAAATATTGTCTACCCAGAATTGTTTGCATTTGGATTCGGAGAACCAATTGAAATTGATTCAAAAGAAATTAATTTTTATGCTTTTAATCAGTTTTATTTAAAGTCAAAACTATTCCAAAAATGTTTGCAACTTAAAAAAATTGTAATTAAAATCCAACCACCAATCGTAATACCTGATAATTTCGAATCATTGATATTCTTTGGCACAAGTGTATTTCCAGATAGTCCAAACTTAAATTGTATAGTTATGGAAGCAAATAATATTGTGTTAAGGAGAAAGGGACAGACTAGCCCATTGTCACTTTTTAATTTAGCAAATGAACGCTTATGGAGTGGAGTTTTTGGGTAAATCTGATTTGCTTATAAATGAAATAAAATCAAAAGAAACCATATTGGCATTATATTATGCAAAAATAAATGATCTTACTTAGTACTTTTAAAGTTAATTTCAGAAAAAATTTGACACAATGGTATCCGGCACATACAAGTGGTGTACAACCAAAATATAAGTTGGTTTAAACATATATTGCTATATCTCATGATCTTACTTAGTACTTTTAAAGTTAATTTCAGAAAAATTTGACACAATGGTATCCGGCACATACAAGTGGTGTACAACCAAATCTTCGACTCGATGAACTTGTCATCGAGTTATATTCCAGTGTTGTTCCTTCATTCCTGATTAAGTTGCAAATTAAAGGTCTGGATTCAGAGAGAAGTGTTAAAGTTATCAAAAAAGTCACAAGAGATTTCGAAGAAATGACACAATTTAAAAAAGTCGAATGCATCAGTATGCTTGAAGCTGTTCAGAAAGGTCTGAAAAATGATACACTTGATCCCAACATTGTTTACTCAACATTAAAAATATTATTGCAAAGAAAACATTTGATTTAATAAACATTTAATTTATTATAATTAATTTTTTATTACAGTATAGTAAAAAATGCTATAAATAAATTATTATATTTTATTAAAATGTGACTTTTAATAGTAAGTGAATAAAATAAATCAGGAATTGGGAAAGAAATAAGGTTAATTAAAAATAATGAAAATTACAAGTTTAAGGTTAATGAAAAAGTGACAATGGGCGAGTTTGTCCCCCACTCTTGTGTTAAGTGATTCTTTTTCAAATTGTCCAAATTTAACTCTTTTAGTACTTAATAATTGCTCAAATATTAATGGTTTGGAACAACTATTAATAGAAAATTCTCAAAGTAGCATTGATTTGGATACTATTGGATTAAATTATTCTTCCGAAAATTCAACCTTAGTTTTTGTAAACAGAAACCTCGATTTGAATACTTTACAAGATAAAACTATAACAGCCAAAGAAATCATTTTCAAAGCTGCCCAAGAAGGCACTCTTAACAAAATATCAAATTGGAATGTATCAAGAATCACATTTGGAAACTGTATAAATAAAGTGACAGCAAATGCAATCAACAATTGAGCAAATTTGAATTATATAGCCTTTAACTCTTCAAATATAGAGTTTCAAAAAGATTCGATAATTAATTGTCCTAATTTATATGATGTTATTTTGCCTCAATATGGTGAAATTATTATCGAAGATGGTGCATTTCAAGGAATCCCTGTTAAAAAGTTGAATATTTCTGACAATTGTCAAGTAAACTTGTCAAAATTAGTTACATCACTTCCTTCAATTGAATCATTAAATGTTTCAAAGACAGATAATTATTATATTACTGATCAAACTATTCCAGATGATCAAGTTTATCATGAAAATGCAACATATGTATCAAAGGCTCTTAACACTGATATTGTTAATAATTTAAAGATTGGAAAATTAATATTTTTATTGGGTGATTCATCAAACTTACGGATTACCAGTCAATGCATTAATGAAATCGTGTTTTACAATAATTTATCTCATATTAATACAGAAGCTTTTAAAGACATGGCAAATTTAACAAAAGTAACATTTGCAGATTATCCATTAACAATAGATTCATCAGCGTTCGTTAATTGTAACAATTTATCAATTGAATTTCCAAAAACATCATTTGTCGATGTTAGTGTTAATTCTTTCAAAGGCTGTACAATAGAAAGTCTGTCGATCGGAAATAATACAAATCTTGATATCGAATCATTCATTAAGAGTATGGGTAGCTCTCTCAAAGCAATTGATATTAAGAATTCTGATCATTTCATCTCAGATTTGTCCGAAATAACTAATTCTCTTAGAAATATCACTCTGATTTCATCTGAAATTTCTTTTGAACAAATCGCAAATAAAGCAGAAATGAAGAATCTTCAAATTCTTAAAATTCTGATGAATCTCAATTCAACCATCTCATCATTCACATTCAATAATTGGAAGATTGAAACATTAGATTTGAGTGAAACTGTTGTTGAAACGATCAGTCCAGAAGCTTTTTATAATTGCAAAAATTTGAAAGAATTGAAATTACCAAATACACTTAAAACAATTAGTGAAAATTCGTTTGTTGGTATTGCAATTGAGTCATTTAATGTATCAAATAATTATAGTTTATCTATCTCTAGTTTCAAAGATTGCAAATCATTATCTAAAATTTATTTAGATTCTAACTTCGAAAACTTTTCAATTGGATACTTCATTGGATGTAACATTCAAAATGTCATCTTAAATTCAGGATCATTAGATAACTATTTCTTCAGAAATAGCAAACTTTATATGAATCTAACACAGAGGTCGGTTTCAACTAAGAGATCAATCAAAGAAATCAATAAAAATGAAGAACTTTTGTTTGTTCCTCCGAATGACAAAAACATAATTCTCAATTCATCTTATGACAAATACGCTTTCTCATATGTCAATGATTACAGCATGCTTGTTGATCCATCAACATTCAACTTCGATGAATTCATTAAGACATGTGACAATAATCAAAAAGGAACTATCCTCACTACATCCGAAGTTAAAAATTACAACACAAGCTATTTCGACTGCACAGGAACTGAATGCAAATTTGATTGCAGTGGAAAACTAACTCCTAAGAGAATTCCTCCTATTATTTTACCAATTTCATCTTCTTCATCTAGTTCATCATCTGTTTCAAATAATAATCAAGAGTCAAGTTCTGTTGTCACAACAGTCTTTGAAGATGGAAAAGTTATGCAACAATCTAAATCATCAACATCAACGAAGACAGAATCAGCCATATACACTAACAGTACGATTGCATCAGTTATCATTTCTCAAGACGAGAGTGGTGTTGCATCTATGTCAACAACATATGTTAACACTATTATTTACACATACATCATCACCGACACCAACACTGAGACTATTGTTTGGGTTGCATTTAGTGATGACAATTCAACAACTAAATCTGCAGTCAGCATTGGCAAAATCATTGGCTTAGTTTGCGGTGCTATTGCTATTGTTTTTATCTTAGCATTTATGGGTGTTTATTTGTATCGACGTACTAAAGATGATCCAGATAAAGCAGACAAAGAAAGTAGTGACAGTTGGCTCAACGAAGACATTGGTCATGTTGTTTCTCTTCCAGAAGAAAATGAAAATCAATTCCTTGAAGTAGTAATGAGCCACAAGGATTCCAGCGAAGGAACCATTACGACGGCCGAATTAAATGGCATTGTTGTTGATAACCAATCGAACTCAAATGATTCAGATATTGTATATACAGAAATTTGATGCTAATTGTTATAAATCGAATAAACATTTAAAATGAAAAAATGAATAAATTATTTTAGATGTAATGATATTCTGTAGAATAGCTCAAAATGTGTATCTTAATTCATTAAACCTTGAACTTTCCTAAAATATTAGAATGAATAATTGCATTTCAAAAGAATAGTAAAACTTATATCTCTGGAAGCATAAGAAATAGTTGTGCAATTTCCATCT